TATTATTAAAATAAAGTTAAACCATGTGTTAGTCCCGAAATGACCTAGTTGGGTCGAGTGGGCGCTACTCTCTCTCTCACCTCTCTCGCTCTCTCTCTCTCTCTCTCTCTCTATTCATATCCATAACAATATGGCGGTAAATCGAATTTCTAGACTAAAGTATGTATTGATTACGATAGTAACCAAGTAGAATAGTTAGTCAGTTTTTATTGTTTATCTAAAATATCAATAACTCCTCATTGATATTGTAACTGTATTAACGTCAGGCTCATCACACCCTCACAAGGGAATCATTTTATTTACAATTTGTGTATCGATTTGGATATTTAGAAACTCATTATTACATCTCTACGTGCGTAAAACAATAACTTTTGTTATACTATTTTATACAGATTATTGTATTTCGTTAAAGTTGCAATTTCATATTTTTAAGTTATATTTTTAAAATGTATTAAAATAAAGCCCTAAAATAGATGGTATCTATAAACAGTCCTACCTTGTTAAAGAATAATCCTATTAATCCTATAATTCACTATTGCCAGGGGAGAAATTGGCAAATATATCATTTTCAACTTCAAATTCAAACTTTTTTAGATAGCTATTCCATGATCGTTTAATAGTGAGTTGACAACCTATTAAGCAAAAGACATAGAAATAATTATGTTTTGACTTTCTTAGAAAATATGAAATTATCGCTTTAAATAAGTTGGAGTAGAAAAGTAGGACTTTAAATTCAGGTTTAAAGAGAGAAAGAGAGAGAGAGAGAGAGAGAGGGAGAGAGAGAGAGAGAGAGGAAGAGAGAGAGATGGGGGGAAATTGTAACTTTAAATGGGCATTGTGTAAGATTTAGATAAAGAGCTGGCCATTCTCGCTACAGTATTTTAAAATTGATAATTCAAAATGAATATATTGAAAATTTCATTCAAATTACTTTGAATTTAAGCGAAGTTATCAATAGTTGTAGTGTTCACAAGATGTGTAAATTGGTCGTAACGACCGTACTGGTCATTCGAATCTTAGTTTCGTTTGACCATTCTTAAATTAAATCATCAAATGGCCGTATAGTTATAATCTACTTAAAATCGGAGACAACCGATTTTATCGAGAGATGATTATGGTCTTGTCATGTTAATAAATGTCTAATTAATAATAATTTATAAAACATTTAAGACCCACAGAAAGACTTGTAATAGACATATTTAGATCTTACATAAAACCTGTTTAAATGGGGTCTAGCTGGTCGAATGGTGGGACACTGGTATCTCGACTAGAATGGTGGGACAAAACTGATATCTCTACTAGAATGGTGGGACATTGATATCTCGACTAGAATGGCGAGGCACTGGCATTTTGACTAGAATGGTGGGATACTGGCATCTCGAATAGGATGGTGGGACACTGTTATCTCGACTAGAATGGTGGTACAAAACTGATATCTCTACTAGAATGGTGGGACATTGATATCTCGACTAGAATGGCGAGGCACTGGCATTTTGACTAGAATGGTGGGATACTGGCATCTCGAATAGGATGGTGGGACACTGTTATCTCGACTAGAATGGTGGTACAAAACTGATATCTCTACTAGAATGGTGGGACATTGATATCTCGACTAGAATGGCGAGGCTCTGGCATTTTGACTAGAATGGTGGGATACTGGCATCTCGAATAGGATGGTGGGACACTGGTATTTCGACTAGAATGGTGGAACATTGATATCTCGACTAGAATGGCGAAGCACTGACATCTTGAATAGGCGGGTGGGACACTGGCATCTCGAATAGGATGGTGGGACACTGGTATCTTGAATAGAATGGTGGGACACTGGTATCTCTACTAGAATGGTGGGACATTGATATCTCGACTAGAATAGCGGGGCACTGACATCTTGACTAGAATGGTGGGACACTGGCATCTCGAATAGGATGGTGGGACACTGGTATCTTGAATAGAATGGTGGGACACTGGTATCTCTACTAGAATGGTGGGACATTGATATCTCGACTAGAATGGCGGGGCACTGACATCTTGACTAGAATGGTGGGACACTGGTATCTCGACTAGAATAGTGGGACACTGGTATCTCAACAGTAGTAGAATAGTGGGACACTGGTATCACGGCTAGAATGGTGGGGCACTGGTATCTCGACTAGAATAGTGGGGCACTGGTATCTCGACTAGAATAGTGGAACACTGGTATCTCGACTAGAATGTCTCGGGTTCGAATCCTGGCGTGGGCCTACGCGTGTACACATTGGCGTGCAAACAAAAGAACCCTTGGCAGTTGGAATTCAAAACACGACTAGGAGGAACTGTTTGAATGAAAATCCACATCATAAGACGTTTAATGAGAGAGAGAGAGAGAGAGAGAGAGAAGAGAGAGAGAGAGAGATGGGGTTTAACGTTCACTCGACACAAACTAGGTCATTTCGGGACTAACATATGGTTCAATTTTATTTCCATAATTCGCTTGCGCGTAGGGGTCTATAGCAGTGGGAGGAAACCGGAGGACCCGGAGAAAACCCACGAGGTTGGACAGGCGACTCTACTCCTTGTCACGTACAACCGGGGAATCGAAACCCCGCCAGTTGACACAATGACAGGCCGTATGATACAGCACGCACGTGCTAACCATTCGACCATCCAACCCCCCCACGCTTAATATGAAAAATATAAAATATTGCAGCCGTTGATCGTCAAATGCGTTTGTCGGACAATATCTGAAATGTAATCAATCTCTCGTCTTGGATTTAATCGGATTAAAAGAAGTTCATCCAAAGATTTTACCCACCACGTAAAGATGGCGGTGGCTTTATATCGTTTTCAATTCGTGATATCTTTGTAAATATAAACGGATTTGATTCCACTTTCCCAATTTTGGAAAAATCCGATTCTATAAAACAAGATATGGGTTGATAATAGACATGGGTTAATGTTATAACAACTTTGATACACATTAGGTCTTCCAATACCTACATAAGCTTACCAGTTGAAATTCGAGAAGGCTAGAATGTCATTGTCCATGACAAAATGACATCCCACCCCAATATTGACGAGCAATGTGTTGACGAGACGCCAATTATCATTTATGTATGTTTGTGTGATATGATTTATCTCCCTCTATTGCTCGAAATAATTCCAACTCGTTTACTTCTTGTTAAGGACTCGTATACTGTAAATACGAAAACCACAGAAAGGCTAGGGAAGCTCCTATTGTCATTTGGAAGTAACAAGTAGGGCAGAGTACAAATTGGTTGCCGTGCGCAAATAATCACATACGTTAGAATTTCACAGTTATCGTGAAAAGACACGCTAAACTTGTAAGCATCAGTAAGTATTTCCCTCCGTCGCGACATGCACCAGTCGAATCCGGCACTGTTTTAATCAATCAGCAGAGGGGAATTAGGACCCCCCCCCCCCCCCGTATGATTAAGTGACGATCCTAATCAGACTTCCTCTGTTATTGGGGCAAACAGGGTTGTAACAGGGTCTAATCGTGTGTTATCCGATTGCAATTCCTTCAATTAGGAAATGGCATGAAATGAAATCGGGTTTAACGTCCTACTGTTCTGCTCCTACTGGGATAATGAAGACGGGCATACACCATGCCGTGTGCTATGAGGGAAATTTTGCCCGGACAGCGGCGCCAACATATTACTCACTGAGTCACCGTGGTTCCCCTTAAATTAGGAACATGTCCAACTCTCGATATATATAGTTAAGTTTATCACATGCTATTCCCAAATGACCGAAGCATTGTGTGTAGGATATGAAATGGGGTTTAACGTCCTATATTTCTGCATCAACTGGAAATGAAAAAGGTGTTTAATGTCCTACTATTCTGCTCCAACTGGACTAATGAAGACGGATTGTGTTTAGGATATGTTAAATTCAAATTCCTTTCCAGATCATTAAATCGTAAATACGCTACAATATAAAATATAATCCCGGATGAGATACTAACCTGAACATTCTTGCCTACTGTCTGAACCATTGTAAATTTTAAACGGATTTCTTCCATTATGAACAAACTACTTAACTTTGATTATTATAAACTTACTCGTGTGTTTGAAATCAACTCTTGTTAAATAAAATCCATTACACAACTAGATATCCCAACAAATAAAAAAAGTTCTCTCTTGACAAATTTGACTATTTACTTGTAATTCCGACTGAGTGGAAGACAACAATGCTTTCGTCACGTCTTGGGGGAAACCAATGCAGCTGTTGCGGGGGTGGTTTAATTTTGACAGATAGTTTGGGAACCACGTGTTGCAATGAAAACAAAGCAAGATCATTACGATCGTTTGAGTTTGGGTGACGAAAAATATCAACTGAAGGCAATTACATAGGAGATTTATATTGAAACCATTGATCGCCAGTCTATCAAATTTTATTCACAATGAAAATATCACTGATTGCACAGATACTCGTAGAAATAAAGTCATATATAAACTAATAATATCCTATCTTCTTTATGTTGTAAATAATTTAACAAGGATCATGTGGTCTCCGAGTGTATTGTTATGGATAGTTATGTGTGTGACCGCTCAAACTCAATGCCGAGACTTATAGCTTATTCTTAAACCAAACTTGAATTGTCGTAAAAATACCGAAAACCGTTTCGAGTTTTTATTCGAAGAAATCCGTTTAAAATTTACGGTAGTTCAGAGAGAGAGAGAGAGAGAGGGAGAGAGAGATGGGGTTTAACGTCCACTTGACACAAACTAGGTCATTTCGAGACTAACATATGGTTCAATTTTATTTCCATAATTCGCTTGCGCGTAGGGGTCTTTAGCAGTGGGAGGAAACCGGAGTATCCGGAGAAAACCCACGAGGTACAACCGGAGATTCGAAACCACGCCAGTTGACTCAATAACAGACTTAATGATACAGCGCGCACGTGCTAACCACTAAGTCATCCACCCCCACGGTAGTTCAGACAGTAGGCCTAGCAAACAGAAATATGATACATGTAGTAGTTTGTAAAAAAAAAGGAATAAAATAATAATAATTGTTTATATCAACGATTGAAATATTATAAAACTCTATAAAAAATATCACAGATAAAAAATACATGTATTCAAATAATTGTGGAGGATGGAACATCGAAAAAATGTCTACATGTATTCATAGCAAAATAGCTGTGGATGGAACATCGAAAAAAGGTCTATATTTAAGAAATAAACGTCTGGATGATAAACATACCAGTCTTTTGTGTAGTTTTATTAAGAATTATTTGATTCAGAGGCGGATAATAAAAATATGAGCCAGTGGGGCGAGAGTGTCTGTCGCGCTTAATTACAGAGCTTTCTTTTACCTAAACGAAAGCAGTCGACCGGGGCATGATCGATGTTTTGGAACATCGTCCATATCTTAACTGTCGAAATAGTGGCTCAAGAAGCCCCCATAGCATTCAACATGATCTGCCCTTGTTCTAACGGAGTGCCGATCAAATATCAACACATATCCACTCTTAATATCTATGATTAAATCTTATTAAGGAAATATGTACACACTTAAATTAGATTTAATATTTACAAACATATTGATTAACATTGGGAAAAAATTAAGAACGTTGAATAAGATCTAAGATTCGTATTCTAGCCCTAAAAATGGTGTCCGCGACAAAAATTAAATAACGGTTTTTTACTTTCTCATAATGTGAGGTCACTCGGCAAACCTCAGCAGATTCCAGTACCCTACATCTAGCCTCGGCTCTATGACGAAGTCCTCCATTGGAACTACTTTCAAGTTCCCGGATTACCGATGGCGTTATCCGTGACGCCTTTGAAGAATGTTTTATCATACAAATATTTCAAAGGCTGAAGCTGTTTTTCTTTCAAGTTTATCCGATTTTTTTCAAACAAATACAACTTTGCACCGAAAATTCTACACACGCTTCGAACGACGCAATTTTGATAACTTCTTTTTCAAAGTGGCAAGTTTTCCTAATAAGTAAACCGGTGCCGCATCGCAGTTGTATAGGCGTAGGTACATATCACTTACCGTCATACCACATGGGCTAGATGTAGAGTAACGGAATCTGCCGAGGTTTGTATTTTGTTGACGTCTTATTTGATTTAAGCAATTTAATTATAATATATCAATAGTTATTGGTTATAATTAGGAAGCACCTGCATCATTATTACATAGTACAAAAATAACAAGAACTACAATCAGTTCTGTTTTGGCTATATACATACAGTTGATATGTATCAAATGTGGCAGGACTAGGCCCTAATATTAAACATATTTTATGACGTCACATTAATAATGATGCCATTGTAATAATCATATTAAACATACATTATGCAAGAGATAAATCTGCCTATTGCAGGTCTTTCTTTAGGCCTTACATGTTATCTAAATTATTGATTAGACATTTATTAACATGAAAAGACCATAATAAACTCTCGATGTCATCGCTAGCCTACGATATTTACTGGATTAGAATCCGATCTGCTGTTCAACGCTCATTGATGTTTTTTTTTTTATCGTACCAACTTTAGTAATGGTGATCGAAGCTAGGCCTAAAAATCAATCGCTAATATCTTGGTTCAGAGTGAAGCAATTTGACTGAAATTTTCAGCAAATTCCCTTTACATTATCTAGTTTTTAACTATTATAGTGAGAACTGTCAGCTCTTTGTCTAATCTCCCATAATGTATCTTTAACACTATTGTCCAAGTTATTTCTTTTTTCGTTGTTTGCTATCTTTCTTGCTTTCTGATTTGATTTGCTGAATGTTCTGATTTGTCTGGAAATAAAACAGAAATGAAATGAAATGAAATGGGGTTTAACGTCTTACTGGGATAATGAAGACAAGCATACGCCATACAGTGTGCTATGAGGGAAATTTTGCCCGGACAGCGGCACTACGGCCTACTCTTATATCGAATTCCAACTGTCAAGGGTTCTTTTACGTGTACGCCAATGGGTCCACGGGACCTCGGTTTTACGTGTCATCCGAACGACTAGACAGCTGTCCTTGACAGGCCCTCCTTCCTGCATCACTGACAAGGCGGAACCACGCCGGGAAAGCAGGGATCGAACACCCGACCTCCAGGCTAGCGAGCCAGTGTCTTACCCACTTAGCCACCGTGATATGAATCACAGGCAAATTGTTATAATATTACCCCAAGTCGGGGATCCTTATTTCCCCCTTGTTTGGAAAATATCATATTTTTAACGGATTAGCTTTTTTTTAGTTTAAACATATTTTATTGACAAATATCAAAAGGATTGAGCACAAGTTTCAAAAACTTAGAAAAGCCCTTTCCATACATAGAAATGATAGACATTATTTAATACTAACAAGATTTCGAAATAGTATATACAATAATAAATAATTTATAAGTAATATAAGTAAAGTCAGATGAATTATATCTCAAAGCTCTATATAAAATAAGTGAAGAGGTGATAAAGAGAATGTAAAATTATATTTAAAACAATGAAAAATAAAGTTTAATAAATGGGATATAAATGAACTGATGCATGTATAAAATGATAAAAAGAAATAATAAAAAAAAAAAAAATAAAAAAAAATGGGGGGTGGGGGGTGCGGGGGAAAAAAAAAAAAAAAAAAAAAAAAAAAAAGTTATCCACCAAAAAAGCTAAAGCTAATAATTTATTCTAAGATGTAACTACTAACAATAACTTTTATTTAAATTTAAATCGTTTTGAAAGTTTGATATATTTGTGAACTTCAAGGAAAAGGTTTGTATTCATCTCAATTGACAATTCTGAATTGCCGCACAATAGGATATCTATATTTATCACAGAATAACTTGACAATGTATTTAATAGTTCAGCACGAATTACATCATATAAGTGACATTGCAGGAAATAGTGTTCGGCATTTTCTATAAATTTGCCACAAGAACATGTGGGATCATTCACAACGTTTATTTCATACAAATCATTTTGCAACGAACTACACCCATGCCGTATTCTAGTGTGAATAATATTTTCATGTCTATTACCTTTACAGTAGTAGATTGGCGCTTTATGTATTAAGGAACGTAATTTTTGTTTGTATAGATATTTGAAGGATTTAAGAGTGGTTGATTGCTTTATGGGGTCCTCTAATAATTCCCAATCTCGAATTGTTGTGGGGAAGTACGAAGTTTGGTGTAATGCTGTTCTACAATAAGGATATCTATATTCGCTAATGTTTCTTAAATTGTATTTTTGTGGTGTTTGTTGATAATATTCTAGAATGTCATATAAGTATGCTGGGTTTCTCTGATTTTTAATTTGAAAAAATGTGGTTAGTCGCTTTTGTGTACGTCTATCTGACAATTTATTCCATCCGGTTTCAAAATAAAGCGCTTCACGAGAACAAGTTTTAGTTAGTCCAGTCACAATCCTGGCAGCTTCTAGCTGTACCTTTTCAAGTTTTTCGGTATTGGAAACGTTACACCCATCCCACACTTCACATGCGTATTCCAATTTTGGCCTTATGAATATCAAATATACGTTATTTAGAGTTTGTCTATTAAAGGTGAATTTTAGTTTACGCAAAATATTTAATAATTTTGAGGTGGACGAGATAATAGTTTCTATATGGATGGTCCATTTGGCGTCATTTGAAAGGGTAATGCCCAAGTGTTTGTGACATTTAACCACTTCAAGTGCTTGATTATCGAATATCAGACTCGGATAATTTTCTGTTTTTTTGGAGCTAAATAAAATAGCTTTTGTTTTGTTTGGATTAAAGTTTATAAGCCAATTATTCGCCCAAATGTTGAGATTTGTCAGATCGTAGTTTAGGGACTGTTCTATCTCTGAAACTGACTGTTTGCTACACCCAAGTGCCGTGTCGTCTGCAAATAATCTAGCCACATTATGGAGTACATCTTGTACATCATTGATGTAAGTCAAAAACAAAAAGGGGCCCAAAACTGATCCCTGGGGAACTCCTGATTGAAGAGTAATTTCTGATGACACAGAGCCATTTACGAATACCCGTTGAGTCCGGTCTTGGACATAACTAGACAACCACGTAATTAGCATGCCTGAAACCCCATATTGACTTAATTTGTGTATCAAACCAGGTAAATATACGCGGTCAAACGCTTTAGATATATCGCAAAAAACATAGCAGGAATATAGTTGCTTATCTATTGCAGATGAGATATCATGATACACTTCTAAAAGTTGATGAACAGTAGAGTAGTTCTGTCGAAACCCTGATTGGTATTTGTACAAGAGATTGTTTTCATGAAAATAGTTAAACAGGTGTTTGAAAACTACCTTTTCTAATAATTTGCTCAAAGAACTTAATAGGCTTATAGGTCGGTAGTTTGAAACTAGAGAGCTGTCTCCTTTTTTATAGAAAGGTAGGACATTTGCTTTTTTCCAAATTGTTGGAAAAACGCCTGATTCTAGTGATTTGTTAAATATATATTTTAATGGTACACATATTGAGGTTTTGGTATATTTTAGTAACTTGTTACTAATATTATCAAATCCATTGGCTTTTTTCAATTTCAGTGTACTTATAAGATCTGCGATTTCCTTTTCTTCGACTAAAGGAATATCAAGTTGACAATTTGTTCGCTTATTGAATTTTGGTAATTCTCCTTGCTGAGTGTTATTTGAAATTGATCCGAAATAGTTGTTAAGTAATTCAGCTTTATCAAAATTTGAATGAGCAATTCTTCCATTGGGGTCTAAAAGTGGAGGAATATCATTTGATACATTTTGGCCTAATACTTTCCTTAAATTATTCCAGTAATTCTGGCTATTTGTATCGTTAGAATTCAAGAAATTTGTGATTTCTTCTTTGTATTTTGTTTTTAACGCTTTTTTAAAATTATTTACTTTATTTCTTTGAACTTTGTATTTTCTTAAATCGCATTCATGTTGTGTTTTCAAAGCTTTTTTGTGTAACCTGTTTCTGATTCTTATCGCTCTACGTATTTCTGTATTGAACCACGGTTTGTCAGTTAGTCTTATAGTTATTGATTTCTTTGGTATGCACAATGTAATATAGCTATTTAAAATTTCATAAAATTTTGAACATACTAAGTTAATATCAGAATTTGCAAAGGTACTCTCCCAATCGTGTTCTTTGATAAGAGTATTTAACCTATTATAATTACCATCCTTATATACAAATATCTCCCGTTTAAAATTCCTGGGACTTGAAACTGGAAAATCTAATAATGCATAAACACCCTTATGATCGGATATGTCAGGAGTGACATTAATCGTTTCACTGGAACTAATCTGAATTTCATCATTTACTAAAATTACGTCTAATAAGGTTGATGACGTCCCAGTAACGCGTGTAGGTTCATCAATAACATTTCTGAGATTATTTAAAGATAAAATATCCCGTAGCTTGCAGCGTTGTGCTAGCAAGTCATCATTTAGATCACCTAAAATTACAACCTTAAGCGTGGTTTGATAGGCTAGTTCAATGGATCTTTCGAACAATGACCAGAATTCAATTGTGCTGTTTGGCGGGCGGTAAAATAAGGCAACAAGTAATACGGTGTTTGGAAATTTGCATTCCACCCAAATACTCTCTATACCTGTAACCTCAAGATCATCTCGCCGTTTGCAATAAATGGTTTTATTAACATATAATAATAATCCGCCACCATGCGACGTCCGATCCTTCCGGTATGGAGAATGGTAACCGTCCCATTTTAGAGATGAATCTAACACATAGTTATCCAGATGAGTCTCAGTGAAACTACAAATATGGTAATCATTGACATCGTTGTATATTGTTTCAAGTTTGTGTCTTATACTACGTGCATTTAAGTGATAGACTGATAGGTTTTCATTTGAATCGTGATTTGAAGGTCCAGGATTTTTATGAACGTCTCCTGATCTTAGAACTAATAAGGCTAAAACAGTACTTAGCAGACAAAAATTATCAAGTTCACATAAAACTATTGGAGATATTATTCGACATTGCCATTTCTCAGATGCCTCGTGCTTTACTGTGTAGTAAATGTCAACTATTACAGTAGCAATGAAAATATAATGAGTGTTGCACTTGCGCCAGTATTGCACGAGGGGACTGAGAAATCATCAAACAGTTAGATCTTAAATATTTAGTGGTTAGTTTTGGTGGATATAGAGACATGAGAACATGATGTAAATAACTAGTAAACAAATAAAACATACATACAGACAAAAACAGTGAATTATTTACAGTTAAAGCAATAGTATAATACATAAACATTGAATGTTTCGGTCATAGTTAAGTTAATATAACAATATCGTACGATGATATCTAAAGCAGGCAATTTTGACAAAAAATGAAGATGAAGGTTAAAGTGATAATACTTAGAGGGTGGTCAGTTTAACAATCCGATATGCAATTTTGATGCAAGACTGAGTTCCCATAATTGACAATTATTTAGATAATTGGCTGTTTATATTTCAGTAATTTAAATGGAATAAAAAACGAAATCAAAAGTTTAAACTGAGATGATAACCCAATTAGTTAATATTTGAATGGAACTTTTAAGTAGATAATTGAGAACTTTTAAAAGATACGCCCATAAATAATGTGGGCATAGTTTTATACATTCGATTTTTTTTTATTATCATAATTAGTTATATAATAATATAAATGTATAACTACATGTAACTATGTATTATAAACTAAACAGTGGTCTAAGCTAATATTACTCTGTAATAGTTAGACAATAGGGAACCAACAAGTAAAATACATGTACATGACTTTACTTTACAGAAAGATTTTGTCATTGTTTTAAAAATCTAAGCAAACTTATTATTACATGAAGGATAATTGGGGCAATGGTGAATGCATGAAACGATTTGAGGTACTATCCAGTTGGTCATCAACTTAAAGATACATTATGGGCGATTAGATAAAGAGCTGGCACATCTCACCACAATAGTTAAAAACTAGATAATGTAAATGGAATTCGATTATCCATTTCATGATTAAATCATGAATGAAAGCTGAGCAGCAAATCGGATCCTACTCCAGTAAATATCGCAGGCTAGCGATGACATCGAGAGCCGATTATGGTCTGAATAAGTTTTAATTAATGTCTTAATTAATAATTTCAGGCCTAAAAAAGACCTGCAATACGCAGATTCAGCTCTTGCAATGGATGTTTAAATATAATTAAATACGTATATATATTTATGCATTTGTAGACATTAAGAAAAACAGGAAAAATCAGTACACAATAAGGTACAGTAGTTTGGGAATGATATTGATGAATGAAATTGGTTCAAAAATATAAAGATACTGTCAGGCATCATTATTTCTTTTTATCAGGCTGTGGGGTCGAGGCAAACCCGCCAAAATCTCGTAAGGATTGTTGTTTTAATGGCCCAACTCTGTTATCATCGTCTATACAGTCGGAAGATGTGTTGATTGCAGAATGTGATAAAGTAGCTTCGTTGTAGTTAAACAAAGACTTATTAGCTTGTGAATTTACTCTGTTTGTTGATGTATGAAAGTTATCGAAGTCCTGCTCACAGGTTATGACAATATTTCCGTCGTCTGCTAGAGGTCGTATGTAAACTCGACCATCATACGTCCAACAGTTTTTAATTAGCTTTGATTTAAACATATCACGACATCTTTTGTAGAGTGCAGCGCGTTTACGAGTGAGGGCTTCATTGATAAAGATCTTGTGAATCTGGGTGAGGTTTCTCTGTTTTAAGTTGCGTTTAGAACCATATATCTTTGCCCTGTCTCTATAACTATTGAAACGTACTATTATATCACGGCCCTTTTCTCTGCGTTTGGCTCCAACCCGGTGAGTTCGGCCAATTTGACTTAGTGTGAGTTTAGCCTGTTTTTCAGGAAGTATGTCATTGTTAATAATATTTAAAACTATATTATCAGTGTTTTCTTCAGGTGTTTCGGGGATGCCACTAAATTTTAGGCATGTTCGCCTAGAATACTGTTCTAAGTCATCAACTCGGTTCTCTAAATCATCTATACGATTGCGTAGAGGGTCTGTTAATGTTGGATGAATTATTTTTATAATGTGGTCCATGATCAAATCTCGTTTGAATAATTCTCCAACGAATGACTTTAAGGATGATTCATTCGAAAGAACATCATCTAAAAACTCAGAAATGCTATGGGAACTGGCACTCGAATCATGATTTCCGCGTTTACGTTTTATGGATACAGACCGACCTCTAAGTTTGGATACAACCGGTTCTTTCACTTTAGGCATGTTTGGTGTTTTAGTGTAAGGTTGAACGAATCTGGCTGTTACAAAATCTACTCACAACAATCTCACAAAACTGAGTATATGTCAACCGAGGAAAATATCTACACTTGTAAACATCAAATATTTTAAAATCGGCTCTACATAATGTTAATCTAATTTCACAGAACACTTCGTCTTCATACTTATCTAAGCTATGCAGTTTTTAGAACCATAATTTAAAGTATACCACTCATGATTTATAATAACTTGCTATGACCAGGTACACGTCTAACTTCTGTCGGCCATCTTGCTGAACACAATCTGATTAAAACACAGATCCTATTTCGTTTCGTTTTTTAAAGTTCAAAATTTACTTGTCTTTACTACACTTGGAATTGGAAGAGTTGTTATATAACCCGCGTTCTGGATGATGTGAGGGGTTATATAGTCAATGAAACGGTCTATTACGACGAGTGTTTGGCGTGGGTAAACCACTAGAAACGTCAACTTTGATTGATTAATCAATGCCGGACGTCTTAAGGTCAAAGTCCACGCATATGACCTCATACGCGACCTTCCACTACAACTGGTCAGATCTGTATTTTAATCAGATTGAGCTAAACAAAATAACATCTTTAACAGTAATGTAACCTATCCATAGACTGGTCTGGCTAAATTATCTTTCATTAGCTTTGGCCCCGGTTGTACGTGACAAGGAGTAGGGTCGCCTGTCCAACCACTGCTAAAGACCCCTACGCGCAAGCGAATTATTGAAATAAAATTAAATCATATGTTATTCCCGAAATGACCTAGTTTGTGTCGAGTGGACGTTAAACCCCCCCTCTCTCTCTCTCTCTCTCTCTCTCTCTCTCTCTCTCTCTCTCTTTCATTAGCTTTGGGTTGTATCAAAATGGACGATATATCACATAGCTAGGTCTGTATAAATATACCTACCCATAAATAGAAAATTGCCACGCCATTACTAGCTTTTAGAACGTCATCATAGTCTGTATTATCCAGTATTTTCTCGGCTTGTACAGCATGTTCTACGTTAGCTTCGTCTAAATCAAAATGGTCTATTTTATATAATAAACCGTTTCTAACCGTCTGGTTTAACAACATCTGAATATCACCCCATTCCTGAAAGTAATAAAATAAAAACAAAAGTAGCAGATATTATTAGAGCCTTGTTGTGTGACATAGATAGGTGGGGAGGGGTCTTTACTTCCACCAGCCAATCTGCTGATGTTATTGACCGGAGTGGCAGATATTAATGGAGCTTTGTTGTGTAATATAGATGGGGTAGTCTTAACTTCACCAACCAATCAGCTGAAGCGACAATTAAAATTTGAATGTGTTTAACCTATCCTATCACATGTACAATTTATGATTGCGAAATCCTTTAACTCGACCCTTGAATCCGACTGACACAGAATTCAGACCTGACACAGTTCGGCCAGTTCTGATAACTAAGGTGAATTGAGTAGAATCGTCACGTAATTCCACACAGCCCATATGTTTCAGATGCCGTGGTTGGGTTATAAAAAAATTCTTTGGTATAATCCGTTTTCAAATCCTGAATGGTCAGTCGAGTGTCTCTGTCGTAATCCTCCGTGAAACAGATTGCGTTTATACCAATTCTTTGTTTTTCCCTTTTCGCACACTGATCAGCAGTGAATATTCGCTGGGCCGCGACAATCACTGATAAGGATGACATCCATGCGACTTAATGAGCCACACATATTAACTTTTTCCCTTTGTTAATCTAGATTAAAGCATCGGGGTGTCATGGATTTAACATTGAAGTCAGGGGGGGGGGGGGTAATTACCAATCTGAAACCAGCCTACAATCATACTTACGTATATTTTTTCGGGTTCTGTTCCCAATAATACATAAGTTGCTTTCATCGTATAGAAGAGACAAGATGGCGGTCGTTGATAACTTTTTATTTCACTGACTGTTTTCTGGTCCATGTCTAACACGTCATGTTTATGTATCTCTAATTCCCAAATGTGATCACGTAGTTTCTCGGCAACTGCTATATGAGATTTAAGTTTATTACTGAACTGTGAATTACGGGCGTTTGTTATGGCTTCGTCTAAGACACCTGCATGTCGACGTCTGATGCCATCTCGTAAGCCTAAAGAGATAAAAAAAATGAAAGAGTTGTTATCACTGACATGTTCTGGATGGTGTGAGGGATTAGCCAATGAAACGGTCTGTTACAGCGAAGTGTAGGCGTGTTTTGAACGGAACTGTGGGTAATCCACTAGAAATATCAATGCTGATTGGGTAATCAAATGTCTGACGTCATGGGGTCAAAAGCCGCTCGTATGACATCTGACGCGATCAATCGCTACAACTGGTCAGATCTTCATGTAGTAGAGGCCATCGAAAGTATAAAAAACGAATCGAAATATAGATCTGTATTTTAATAAGATGGTGAATTATTTATTGATCATCACACCTGATTAACAAGAAATAAAATGAAATGGGGTTTAATGTCCTACTGTTCTGCTCCGACTGGACTAATGAAGACGGGTTTACCCCATGCAGTGTGCTATGGGGGGAATGTCCTACTGTTCTGCTCCGACTGGACTAACGAAGACGGGTTTACCCCATGCGGTGTGCTATGGGGGGAATTTGGCACAGACAGCGGCACTATGGCCTACTCTTTTATCGAATCCCAACTGCCACTAGACAACTGTCCTTGTCAGGGCCTCCGTCCTTCACCACTGACGGAAAATAAATTGTTTTTTTTGTTTTGTTTTGTTTTGTTTTGTTTTGTTGTTTGTTTTTTTTTGGGGGGGGGGGCAGATGAAATCCCACTGTATTAAAAATTTAAAATCAGAGTTAATGTTGGGATGTAAACGTTGAGATATAACCGATGTCACTTTTGTGTACTCTGCTATCATATTTATTAATGCTAGGTTCCCGTTATCACGATTCGTGCTACGATTGAAATCGTGGTTTCAATCGTGGAGTAATCGTGGTGATCCTATCAGGTCTTATCATATATTGAGGTCAGTCGTAGCAATTGTACGAGAATGTGGACTCGGTAGGGATAAACCTACCGAAACGCACAACAGTTGGAACCTAGTACTAGTAAAACCTAATGCTTTTTCGGTTTCTATATGAAGAGCCCCGGGGAAGAACCTTCGAGGTCACTTTTTCAACGAACCCCAGTTAATGGCGCCATCTGGTAGCAAATTGTATAAGCTTTCTGTAGAACAATCAATTTCAGGTAAAAACGAATGGAGTCACATCGAACCAAGGCCCTTCTGAAATGGCCTCCCGGATAAATACAAGTCCATCGTATTTATTTGACCTTTATTTGGCTAAAAGGTGGAAGTCAGTTGTTGTACTGGTAATTATGATTCGTATTAAACACCATTTTGAAATTATAATTAAACCCACCCTTTGTTCTGTTCGCGTCAAGCATTCTCGTCCAAAAGTCTGTTTTGCCTTTTATGCGAAAAGACAAAATTGTGAGTTAGATCGTTCTTCCCCTGGACCCTTCATATGACTAAGACTACATATTGGCGCTGGGTGTCATGCCCCCTTTTCGAAACACCTAGTTCCACTTACTATTGCCTAGTGATACCATCCCTATGATTATAATTTATAAACCTATCAACAACCGCATTCTGCACAAAACAAAGGGCCCCAACTCCTTTAAATATAATCTAACCTCGTTGTAGCTCAAGGAAATGGCGTCTCCGTAAGGCCCGGAAGTAGTCATCATCTTCAGGGCCATCATATTTTACATATTTAGCAATGGAGTCTTCTAGTTTTTCCAGACTTCCATTTTCCGTACTTTCTATCAATTGCCGTTTTAACCGTGCCTACAAATAAATGGAAATATAATTATACATTTAATTAAAGGGGCATGCGGTGAGATTAGATAAAGAGCGGATACCTCTCGCTATAATAGTTAGAAAAAAGATAATGACAACAGAATATGCTGACAATTTCAGTCAAATGTTTTCACTCTGAACCGAGATATTAACCATTGAATTTTAGGCTAGTCTCTGTAGGCATTACTGATGTTGGTATAATAACAAAGTCTCGATTACCCACTTTTACGTTAAATTATCCATCACAAAATGTATCCCAATCCAGTAAATATAGGCAGGCTAACGATGGCATCGAGAGTTGATTATGGTCTTTAAAGTTAATTAATAATTTAAATAACATTTTAGACCCAAAGAAAGACCTGCAATCGGCAGGTCTAACGCATAAACTATACCTGACATTCAAATTTGACCCTTTCATTTGATCTGAGTGATGATTAATTATGGTCACGTGATCAATACTTTATATACGACTTTATATAAAATATAACTTTTCAGATGGCGACACTTGGACAAGTCAAACTATTTAAAGTTTTTAGATTGTCATTTCGATGGTCAAAACACAATAGATTCCGTGGCCCTATGATTTGAATGGGGGGGGGGGGGGGTGGATGCCGCGCTGTATCAGATGGTCTATCATTGAGTAAACTGGCAGGGTTTCGATTCCTCGGTTGTACGTGACAAGGAGTAGGGTCGCCTTTCCAACATCGTGGGTTTTCTCCGGGCATAAAGACCCCTACGCGCAAGCGAATTAACGAAATAAAATTGAACCATGTGTTAGTCCTGAAATGGCATAGTTTGTGGCGAGTGGACGTTAAAAAAACATAAAATATCTCTCTCTTTCTCTCTCTCTCTCTCATTTGAACACCATCCCTACAAGCGAATTACTTACTAACATGTCTATAATTGTCAATTATAATAAATCTTTCACTTACCTTAAACCCATATAAATAGGCTATTCCATTAGAAAATTGGCTTGTATCAGCATTATTACGATATGACTGAAATTAAAACAAACGTAATTTTATTTTACAAAAAGAAATTTGTCTCTGTTTACTATCGTTTTGTGAAGCAGTGTCTCCAACGCTATTGTTGTTGGTGGCTAATGAGTGCCATTTGTGCCAGAGTTGCCAGGGGGTTTTACATTTTCAAACATACCGTTCATTATACTTCGACTGAAAGCGTAAACATTTCCAAAGTCACATCGTCAACATTTCTACGGCTGATATATCAAAATAATAACACCCCCCCCCCCCCGTCTCTCTCCTTGTCAGAGGGTGGAGGGCCTGGCAAGGGGCAATGTATAGTCCTTTAGATGGTGTTAAGAAACGAGGTCCCGCGAGGTCCCGTATACACATTGGTATGCCACGTAAAAGAGAGAGAGCGAGAGACAAATGGGGTTTAACGTCCACTTGATACAAACTAGGTCATTTGGGGACTAACATATAGTTTAATTTTATTTCAATAATTCGCTTGCGCGTAGGGATCTTTATCAGTTGGAGGAAACCGGAGGACCTTGTCACGTACAACCGGGGATTCGAAACCACGCCAGTTGACTCAATGACAGGCCTTATGATACAGCGCGCACATACTAACCATTCGGCCATCCACCCCCCCCCCCCCCTTGCACGTAAAAGAACCCAAGATAGTTGGAATTTGATATAACAGTAGGCTGTACTGGCGCTGTCGGGTCAAAATGTCCCGCATAGCACAATTTAATGCATATGTCCATCTTCTTTAGTCCAGTCTGATTAAAACACAGATCCTATTTCGTTTTGTTTTTTTTTATAGTTCAAAATTTAATTTTACTTGTCTTTACTCTACTGTGTTATATAACCTGCGTTCTGGGTGATGTGGGGGATTAGCCAATGACACGGTCTGTTACAGCGAGTTTTTGGCGTGGGAAGCACGGAACTTTGGGTAAATAACCAGAAACGTCAACGCTGATTGGTTAATCAAATATCTGACGTCATTGCGTCAATAGTCAGATCTTCATGTACTAGAAGCCATCGACAGTATAAGAAAACGAAACGAAATATAGGTCTATATTTTACTCAAATTGTCGTTGGCCCAGTCGGAACAGATCAATAGGACGTTAAACCCCATTCCATTAAAATCATGCTAGGGTTTACACAGAGATCTGTATAGCCCTCTAAAAATGGTATATTTGATTCGCGCTCTCTTCAAGAAATCCCTGCTCTTGAAATGGAAAACCTACAGTTCCATTGTTTTTATTTATTTTTGTTTGATGGAGACAGAAATATATTAGAATCAATAGCGGCTATACGTTACATTGCTATTGAACATAGTTCAACTGAATTCCTCGGGTAACAGCCGTGGGATCATTTATTTTCTAATGTAAAGCAGACGAAGCTCGACTACAAGCAAAACTATGAGATAATAAACAAGGGAAATAACTCTAGTTTCAAATTTACCTGCAAACCATCGCCATCTGTATCTGAACAATCTAAACTAGAGACACCAACAAAACCAGTCTGAAAATATTATATTAGTATCATTTACATGTTATTATAACCCTGCACAAGAGAGAGAGAGAGAGAGAGAGAGAGGGAGAGAGAGGGAGAGAGAGAGAGAGAGATGGGGTTTAACTTCCACTCAACACAAACTAGGTCATTTCGGGACTAACATATGGTTTTAATTTTATTTCAATAATTCGCTTGCGCGTAGGGGTCTTTAGCAGTGGGAGGAAACCGGAGGACCCGGAGAAAACCCACGAGGTTGGACAGGCGACCCTACTCCTTGTCACGTACAACCGGGGATTCGAAACCACGCCAGTTGACTCAATGACAGGTCTTAAGGATCCAGCACGCACGTTCTAACCTTTCGGCCATTCCCCCCCCCCCCCCTGCACAAGAAGAAAAAATATAGCCTATTAATAAACCAGTCTGGAAATATCATATTAGTATCATTCAAATGTTATTTTTACCCAGCACAAGAAGTACAAGCGGTTGCCATGCAAGATACGCCCACATTTTGCAAGAGATGGACAGAGAACAATCTTAAAAAAAGCGACTTTTCGTACAATCAGCGGCCATAATCCAGGAAGTTACAGTCTGAGATCTTCGGGATATAAACATATTTTAAATTTCATCTAAATCGGATAAAAGTTGTAACCTCTAGGGTGTCAACATGCTAAAAACGTGATTTTGCGTAAAATCAGGTGCCATAACACATGAAGTTTCGATCTGATACATGCCAATATCGAAAGTAAACGTTTGGAGATAAACGTATATTTCCAGTGTCGTTAAAATCGGATAAGAACTGTGACCTGTAGAGTGTCCACAAACCAATTGTGGTCCGGACGGACAAACGGACGGACAGGGGTGACGACAATATGCTTCCACATGAAAATGTGGGCGTATAAAAATTACAGCCTATTAACAAATAAATAAAGCAAATGTAATTGATGCAAAATTAAGCTGATGTGAAATGATAAATCTAATCATTTGTTGATAACAGAATCAAAACAAACGTTAAAATACAGATCTATAGTTCGTTTCGTTTACTTATACTTTCGATGGCTTCCACTACATGAAGATCTGAGCGGTTGCAGTGAAAGGTCGCGTCAGAGGTCATACGATCGAGTTTTGACCCTATGACGTCAGATATTCGATTACCCATAGTTCCGTGTACCTCACGCCAAAAACTCGCAGTAACAGACCGTTTCATTGGCTAATCCCTTACATCACCCATAACGCGGGTAATATAACAACTCTTACAGATCCTAGTGTAGTAAATACAAGTAAAACGACATTTTGAACTATAAAAAACGAAACGAATTATGATCGGTGTTTTAACCAGATTGTATTTTAAAGACAGTTAACTTAATATCTATTAACATTAATATGACATAATATCTAATTGTAAAAATTTATCCAAAGTATATTATAAATTTAGATAAATCAGATGTCAGCATTACACAGACTACGAAAGCAAACCCGACTATAAACAGATTCTAAGAGATATTAAAGAGTATATGATAACTGGGAATTTTCAGTAGGGGCGGGGCACTTCTTGGATCAGTAATCGATCAGACAGGAGGAGAATTAAGCTAGCGTTGAATTTTTATATGTAGAAAAGGTTGGCCTGTACGAACGCATAAAGACAGGTAAATTGTTCAAACCCCTAATGCATTTTTCAGCATCAAGGCATGCAAATCACGAGGTCTTCATTGGGAGTTTGTCCCAATTGCGATTCATTTTAGTTTAGGACAATCTTAAATCTTGTACATTAAAACTGTCTATTGTGTGTCCATATCTTCAGATGCTGGGGTGTATTTTGGAAAGGATCGTGTAATGTTAGGATTCTGGTGGGGGTGTATTTTGGAAAGGATCGTGTAATGTTAGGATTCTGGTGTAAAATAAAAAAGAACATAATAAAAAAAGTCAAAGCATCCAGGGACCTACATGTACATTACCCCCCACCCCCTCGCCCGCAACCCTCTACCAAAAACAAAAACAAAGAACAACAATAACACAAAAATACAACAAAGACCAATACAAAACAAAGAACAATGCAAAACAAAAGACAAAAACAAACCAACAAAAGACAAAAACAACCCCCCAAAAAACAAAAGCTTATACAGGTAAATAGATATCAAACAAAACATACCCTTTTCGTAGATTTCGTAGATTTGGTCTTCTTGGCTACCCCGTTTTTCTTCTGTGCACCTTTTGGCGAAACTTGTGATTTCTTGGTGTCGGTTGAGGAACCACATCCCATCTTAATATAAACTAGCAGTTGTCACGTGATACATATACACAGTGTACATCTAAAATGAGGAAACCTATTGTTAGATATTATGTTAGTCTGTCCCCTAATCAGATCAATATTCATCAATCATATCGAATACTTAGAAATGAAATGGGGTTTAAGGTCCGACTGGGCTAATGAAGAGAGTGTGTGTGAGAGAGAGAGAGAGAGAGAGAGATGGGGAGAGAGATGGGAGGGGGGAGGGGGTAACCTCCACTCGACACAAACTAGCTAATGTCGGGACTAACATGGTTCAGTTTTATTCAATAATTCAATAGCGGTTGGCAGGAAACTAATGAAGACGGGCATACGCCATACAGTGTGTTATGAGGAAACACGGCCTACACTTTTACGTCCACGCCAATGTAAAGACGGGACCTCGGTTTTTCGTCCCATCGGAACGACTAGACAGCTGCCCGTGCCAGACCCTCTGTTCTGCACCACTAACTTGGGAAACCACGCTTTAAAAGCCCGAGAAAATTTCTCGGCCAACACAGGGAGCGAACTCGGGACCTTCAGAATAGTTATGAGAGCTGATGGCGCAAGGTTTTCCTACCAAACTGTCCTTTCTCATACATCTCGAATTTATCGTGCTCGAAAATTTATCATCATTACAGACCCGGGGCTGTACCGCGCGGTGGGCTTTCACGGCTGACTTCCGGATCAATTCAGGTGATTTGATATTTGTTGTTTGTTGCTTGCACTGTCTGTGTCCGCATGTTTGTCTTTCGGATTTGTCATTGTGTAGTATATATGAACCTAAAATATGGAGCACCTCATGTATGAACCTAAAATATGGACCACCTCATGTAAGATTAGTTGACAATTTTTTATCATTTAAACCCTTTTCTGAAAACCTATTATTTTAGAAAATATCTCCCGTGACGTGTGTGTTTAGTTTTAGTTTTTAGATACTTTTACAGTATTTAATGAATCTTAAAGTTCAAAATATATGTAAAGTGAAATTGTTATTTGTATACATTCATTTGAGATCTTGACTTTTTGTTAATGTGAACATAGGGGCCACGGTGGCTAAGTGGGTAAGACGCTGGCTCGCTAGCCTGGAGGTCGAGTGTTCGATCCCTGTATTGGCCGAGAATGTTCATCGGAATTTTCCGAAGTAGTTTCCGTTGTCAGTGTTGCTGGACGCAGGGCCTGCGTACCGCTGCCCAGGCAAAATGTACCTCATAGCACACTGTATGGCGTATGTCCATCTTTATTAGCCCAGTATATGAGCAGAACAGTACGACGTTAAACCCCATTTCATTTCATTTCATATCATTCAAGCACAGATCTTACTTTATAGGTGAAGTAAATGAATTGAGTTGGATAATATCAAAACAACCCTTTGTTAATCACTCACAATATGGCGATATTATATTGGTGAATAGTGTATACCTGTTACATCTCTTAAACCTTGTACTTTACTTTCAAAGGGCATGGTTATCGTTAATCAATTAAAATTTTGTTATAGCCATTTAATTATAGCGACATTTTGATGAATAGTGTTAGCTATAATTGTGCAAGTTAGATCTTTAGAAATTGTTGTTTTTTTTACAAGTAAGGTGTTAATAAAATTGTATTATAGTAATATAAAATATATTAAACACAGCCGTTTGAATGTTCTTTGATCAATAATAAAAAGATCCAAGTGGAAATATAAAAAAAAATTGCATAAAAATGAAATTTGTATAGATAAAAGAAAACTTAAAATGTAAATAGAAACTAAGAAAAAAAAAAAGAAATGTTAAAGTATTTCATAAAAAAAAGATATGAACCACGGTGGTTCATTGAGTAAGGAAAATACGTCAGTCGTTCGGATGTACTCGTTGATGTGCACGTAAAAGATCCATTGACATTTAGAACATAGTACCTACAGGGTAATGAAATTTTACGGGAGTTTATTACAGAATAGCAGCAATAAAGTGTTAGCATACTCTGCCTCGCTCATGACACCTGTCATATACTCTGGTGAATTATGCTTATATTTGTCGACATTACACTGGTACGAACTTATTTAAAATATTTTATTATTTTTTTATAAATATTTTATCCAGGTATAGTACTTTGGATACTCACATGGCTACCATGACAAATTAGTACCAGTTGTTTCGTGTATGAGTAGGCATGCACTGCTTCGAGCATGACACTGGCCACACACACACACCGGAAAAAACTCTCCGTTAAACGATCGACAACCTACTTGTATTATATTGTTTAATACAAAACTTTATAAAAAAAATATCAACAATCCATTTGTTTAGTCTTACAGATATCTGTAAACTTATCATAAGGTCATTGAGTCAACTGGCGTGGTTTCCATTCCCCGGTTGTACGTGACAAGGAGTAGGATCACTTGTCCAACCTCGTGAGTTTTCTCCGGGTCCTCAGGTTTCCTGCCACTACTAAAGACCCCTACGCGCAAGCGAATTATTGAAATACAATTGAACCGTGTGTTTTATTCCCGAAATGACCTAGTTTTGGTCGAGTGGACGTTAAGCCCCATTTCTCCCCTTCTCTCTTTCTGTAAACTAGCACCACACGACCAGCTGTGTCAAATTCACCCTCGTAATATAACATCCAAACTTAACACAAATCTGTGTCACATCCACCCACTTAACATAATATTAAAACATAACACAAAACATTATATTATTACCTCCCTATGGTTAACAGTAATCCAATATCTTCACTGAAATTAAAAACACATTTCTTAATCTTTTTTAAATCATATTTTATAAAAGTAATCGAATGAATGTTTTAAAGTAACTAGGCTACGATACACAAGTCGTATAACTGGTGTTAAATCGTGTTAGATATTGCTAAGTGATCGCTTACATGGCTTCAACTATGTGGTCGATAAAAAGAAGAGTTTAATACGCGAACAATGCGTTCGTTTATTCATAATTCACGTGTGTTAAGAATAGATTCACTCTCCATACAACCTATGAACTGTTTTTATTTGTAAGCTTGTCGTAAGATTAATACAATCTAATAAATAGACATGGAAAATATATAGAACGCGTTTGTTTAGAATTCGTCTATAGATGTATAAATAAGAGTTATTTCCCTTTAACTGTTAAATGTGACATTTATTACACCTTGTACCTGACACGGAGTAGAGTTGCCTGTCGAACCTCATGGATTTACTCAGAATCCCCCGCTTTCCCCCCACGGCAATATACCCCTAAGCGCAACGGAATTATTGAAATAAAATTGAACCACATGTTAGTCCCGAAAAATGACATAGTTTGTCTACAAACCAACCCTGTTTCTCTCCTGACTGTCATAAGTTCATGAGCCATCGGTTAACGAGTATCTAAAATTTTAGAAACTCATTATCACTGTATAAATATAGTTAACCCTCCAATTACAACTTATCTTTAAAAATTGCAATTTATTTCTAAAACGAAAAAATAGAAGAACTGCACACCGTATAAGTGATCTAAGAATCGAATTGTTGACGGAAGTAAAAAAGTGCTATTGAATATGCCGAAGCTATTTTACATTTTGTGGATTAATGATTTGTTTTCATTTTATGTAGATTATGGTAAATTAAACCATATTTCTGTGAAGCGGAATTATAGTTTTAATCCTTTTGTATTTGATAATACCTGACTGCTCCTACTATAGAAACAATATCAGGGGCTGGCTAACGGGATGACCAGGGGGTTGCGGAGGGGAGGGGGGGGGCGCCGGCATGGTTTTACCAAATCGCGTGCGAAAGGGTATTCACTAATGTCTAATGTCTTGGTCTGAAGTAAAATTACACAATTACGACCATATATCCCCGAAATATGTTTCATTCCATCCTCTGGAAATTTATTTGCTTGCTTATAGAAAGTGGGGGATCACGGTGGTTAAGTGGGTAAGGCGCTGGCTCACTACCCTAGGGGTCAGGTGTTCGATCCCTGCATTGAACGAGAAAGTTCATCCAGATTTTCCGGGGTGGTTCACCCTTGTCAGTGATACAGTACGGAGAGCCTGACAAGGACAGCTGTCTAGTCATTCGGGTTGGAAGAAAAACTGAGGTCCCGTGTATACATTGGCATGCATATATAAAAGTAAGCGAACGCCGCTGCCCAGGCAATATTTCCCTCATAGCACACTGTATGACATATGCCTGTCTTCATTCCCAGTTTAGGAGCAGAACAGTAGGCCGTTAAACCCCATTTCATTTCATTTCACTTATAGAAAGTTACTCACCTCATAAATTTTATACATGTATATTATTGCCAGTGCCGGACCGGTGTGCCAAAGGCCCACCTGTCAGGTCATTGACCAAGGCCCACACAAGTATCCTGTCCTCTCCTTCCTTCTTTCTTTTTTGTCCTCCCTCTCTCCTTTCTTCTCTTTTATTTTTTCTTTACCTCGTGGGTTTTCTCCGGGTCCTCCGGTTTCCTCCCACTGCTAAAGACCCCTACGCGCAAGCGAATTATTGAAATAAAATTAAACCATATGTTAGTCCCGAAATGACCTAGTTTGTGTCGAGTGGACGTTAAACCCCATCTCTCTCTCTCTCTCTCTCTCTCTTTTCTTTTTTTCTTTTTTCTTTTGTCTTTATGGGCTCAGGCCCACTTTTTTTTAATGAGCTTAGCCCACCTGTCACGGACAGGTGGACAGGTGGGCCGAGTCCGGCACTGTTTATTGCAATCGTTTTATTATATAATGGTCTATTGAAAGAAAGGGTGAGGGGTACGCTCCCATAACCATTTTAATAACCAGCGCTGAAAGTATTTCACAACTTTTGGAAGATGTTATCAAAAAGCAAAAAGAACTTTAAAAAACATCCATAAAACATGTTCTCTATATATCTATAGATTAAAAGAGTGGTTGCACAACAACAACCGAAATTTATTTTCCCACAGAAATGTTGAAGGATAAAAGATGTATTATGAAACGTAAACAAATCTCAACAGTCCGTGTCCTGTGTTAACATTTAATGGTCTTATATAGATATTACTAATTTTAACTGTTTAAAGATTCCCCGGTTGTACGTGACAAGGAGTAGGGTCGCCTGTCCAACCTCGTGGGTTTTTTTCGGGTCCTCCGGTTTCCTCCCAATGCTAAAGACCCCTACACGCAAGCGAATTATTGAAATAAAATTGAACAATGTGTTAGTCCCGAAATTACCTAGTTTGTGTCGAGTGGACGTTAAACCCCATTTCTCTCTCTATATATATGTTTAAATACCTGTATTTATTTGTAGGTGTTTCAATATAAGTGTATATATGTAGTTTAAAAATATACAGAAATGAAATAAAATGGGGTTTAACGTCCTACTGTTCTGTTTCGACTGGGCTAATGAAGACGGGCAGTCAGGTGGATTAATCATAACATGACATTCTTTTAGCTTTTTGGTAGTCACGCAGTTTAATTATGATGTTTTAGCAGTCACGTGGATTAATCATGATTGCATGACATATCATTTTGTTTTCTGGTAGTCACGCGGTTTAATCATGATGTTTCTGGTAGTCAAGTGGTTTAATCATGATATTTATGGTAGTCAAGTGGTTTAATCATGATATTTCTGGTAGTCACACGGTTTAATCATGATGTTTATGGTAGTCACGTGTATTAATCATGATATTTATGGTAGTCACACGGTTTAATCATGATGTGTCTGGAAGTCACGCGGTTTAATCATGATGTTTCTGTTAGCCATATGATCTGATATATTTTTCTTGTTTTATGAAATTCACGATTTAAAGATAAAGATTTAGATAACGAGCTAGCCATTCTCGCCATAATAGTTCGAAAGTAAATAATGTATCATAAATACATTGAAAATTTCATTCAAATTACTTGAATTTAAGGGCAGTTATCTATAATTGTAGATTTGACAAGATGTGTGAATTGGTCGTAACTACCGTACTGGTCATTCGAGTCTTAGATTCTCTTCTCCAAATTTTTAGATTAAATCATTAAATGAATGTACCGTTCTAATCTTCTTAAAATCGGGGCCATCCGATGGCTTCGAGAGTTGATTATGGTCCTGCCATGTTAACGTCTAGTTCATATAACATTTCAGGCCTAAAGAAAGACCTGTAATAGGCAGATTTAACTCTTGAATAATGCATGTTGAATGATGATGATATAACATGACACAATTTGCTTTTTACTGATTGTTTCTCACGACTCTTTATAACGACCTTGAATAATTTTAAAATTTTATATAACACATATCTTCGGATTTGACCTGTCAACGATTCGGAAAAATAACTGGGGCAAATATTTCATTATACTTGAAATTGTACTACTATCTTTTTAAAGTAAGGCCATGTCACGGGGGGTTGGGTAATGATAAAACTCAACTTCGGGTTAATGGCCGCGTTGAAATTCGATCCATGACATGACAAAATACTAGACAAAGGAACACAATTCTTAAAGGGACGATATCTATCTGACGCGATTTGACAGTTACATCGTGCAATGATCTCATTGGTAGTAACCAGTAATTGAGATAAATCTACACACCCCATTGCTACGAAACTTAAAACGGGTTTTGTTTTCCAAGGAATTTAACAGACGCTGGGAATAAAGTACCTTACTGCAACGAGTATCAAAGATACCGTTTAATGCAGCAAATGGTAAGTTTGTTTAATTCATAGCATTAATTAATTTGTTGTTATAACATGGTCCTCCTCTACCATCTATTTATGGAGATAAAGCGACAATGACAATGGTTACCAAGCCCCCACTACACTTCCCTCTTTCGTAATTGCTGAATAGAACAGAACGGGAACGTCATCGGTGTCCGCCTTCCTGATTATTTGTTTTTCTAGCTGGTCGAATGGATGAAATATCGATGACTCCAAGCACAAACTGTCAGTGAATTTAAAAGATCCCTTGACATTGGTACATTGGGTTTTCTATGAACGCTAATGTGTGTGTGTGTGTGTGTGAGAGAGAGAGAGAGAGAGAGAGAGAGAGAGAGAGAGAAATGGGGTTTAACGTCCACTCGACACAAACTAGGTCATTTAAATGATTCGCTTGCGCGTAGGGGTCTTTAGCAGTGGGAGGAAACCGGAGAAAACTCACGAGGTTGGACAGGCGATCCTACTCCTTGTCCAACCTCGTGGGTTTTCTGCGAGTCCTCCGGTTCCCTCCCGCTGTTAAGCGAATTATTGAAATAAAATTGAACCATGTGTTAGTCCCGAAATTACTTATTTTGTGTCGATTGGACGTTAACCCCTCCCCCCCCCTCTCTCTCTCTCTCTCTCTCGATCAATCTGTCGTGTTCTGTGCGAACAACTAGACACACATTGCGCCTCAACCCGGCAGGCGTTACCCATGTCACGCTATAACCGGGCTTCTTGGCCCACGTGGTGATTTGAACCAGGGACAGTAACGTTTGCGGTCATGTGCCCGGGATGTTACTCCAAATCTGCCTTAAAGGCAAGTTACCCGTAACGAAGTGAAATTAACCGTAATGAAATGTATAGTTCTTTTCTTCCCGTTTATCTATTTAATAAATATAAGACGCTAGCCTGGAGGTCGGGTGTTCGATCACTGCACTGGCCGAGAAAGTTCATCCAGATTTTCCGGCGTGGCTCCTTTTGTCAGTGATGCAGAACGAAAAACCGAGGTCCCGTGTACACATTGGCGTGCACATAAAAGATCCCTTGACAGTTGGAATTCGATATATTAAGAGTAGGCCGTAGTGCCGCTGTCCGGCAAAATTTCCCTCAGAGCACACTGTATGGCGAATGCCCGTCTTCATTAGTCCAGATTGGAGCAGAACAGTAGGACGTTAAACTCCATTTCATTTCATTTTCATTTGCTTTATTCAGAAAAATGA